CTCTAAAAAATAAAAAAAAATAATAATAATTAAAATTTAAAAACTAATTCAAATGTAATTTAGTGGTTTCTAAAGCTCTCCCAGATGAAACGTACTGTCCTGCCTTTTAGTTACAGCAGCCAACCCGAGGTGGCGGGTTGCTTGCAAAGGTCATTGTGACCATTCCTCCAACCCACCTGTGCAGGCTCCACTGCCAGGTAACTTTGCCATTCCATCCATTAAGAGGTGGACTCTATTTTTCTCCCCATGAATCTGGGCTGGCCTTGTGATCTGCTTGCTCTGGCAGAGTTCGAGTGACTTTGGAGCCTAGGCCTTGAGAGACCTTGTAGCTTCTACTTAGGCCCCCTGGACATAGTGACCAGTGGGACCAGTGGAGCTGCCCCAGCAAGTCCAGCCCAAATTGCTGATCCTCAGAATTATGAGCAAGTACAATGGTTATTACTTTAGGACATTCAGTTTGAGTGATTCGTTATGTGGCAATAAATCACTCTGACATCTGCTTAGTTTTTTTAAAGTGTTTCTCTGCAGAGCATGCCTCCTGATGTTTCCTTATCAGTATTAGCACATTCAAAGAGTTGTTTCTGTACCCCACCTTCTAGATTATTCATCAGAATATTAAATCAATCCCAGTGAGATCTCAAAGTCTACTTGGAGAGTTTTCTTTTGGTTTCAAACATTTGTTTTCTGGCGTTAAGTCAATTCTCTGTCCACGCCAAATATCGCACACTTGAACAGTAAATTTTTAAAGAAGAGGGAAGGGGCGAGGGGAGGAAGGAAGAAAGAGAACCTATGGAGAGCCAGGGCCGTTAGGTAGCACTGGTCATTCACAGAATGTAGTAACAACGATAACAACGACTGCCTGCTTGGCATTCACACTGTATTCAAGCTTGTATCTCCAAGGTCCATCATTTGGACCTTCTGGATTTGGCACACAGCTAAGGGCAGCAAAGAGACAGGTGGAGAGAATGAAGTTGCTGCTTTTATACATTGTTTCATATTTGTGTGTCTTGTTTCCTAAAAGTAGAGCCAGCTTCTGCTGGAGCTCTGGTCAAGCAGGATGTGGAGTCTTGAATGTATCAAGGAAGATCTCAAAGCCTTAAGTGGTAGATACCTATGTTGGCAACTTTGTCTCAAACTCTGCCCCAGGTGTTTGAGGATTGGTACAGGAAAATGGGTTACAGTGCTGTTTCCTACTCTCTTGCTCTCTTAGTTTTTTTTCCCCCTTTTCTGCCAGTACTTTTCTCTTCCACCAAAACCATGGATTTCAACTCCAAAGATCTCACTGTTTTCATAAAGACAAAAATGACCCCTACTCAAAAATGGGGTTCCTTGAATAGCTGTATGTTCAAACTGAAGTAATTACATGAAAATAATAGTAGTTACCTTTTGTTGTATCTGTAAACCTGACATTAGGTGAGGCAAACGGCAATAAGGGGAAAGGCACGATGGGGGTGATGCCGCTCCAGCTACTTATCTGACCGATTTGGACTTGGGTTTATCTAGAGTTCTGCTTCCACTCCAGGGTGGTACTAACGGCGAGGAGGATGTGTGTGTAGGAGAGGTATCAATTCTCTCTTTGCCCAGGAAATACAGATGCTGAGTCACTACCAGAACCTCACGAATGCTGAAAACAAGACTTGGCCCAATGTAAAACTTGGCCTGAAATAATTTTTAAAAAAGAATTCTCCTTTTCTTTAACAGTCATACTCATTAAAAAAGTCTATACAAGAGAAATAATCACTCATCTTTGACACCTGGAGGGCACGTACGTAGAGGGCCTCCTCAATAAATGACCAGACCTGTGATCTGCTCCTTCCTCACATCACGTTAGTAACTCTCAGACTGACCTATAATCGATCGATCAAAGTTGTACAGCCTTCTGCAGAAGAGAGGCAGCACATTGGAACCGCTCTTCGAAAACAAAAACATTAGTTTTTGAAGAAAATATCAGTAGAAATTTTTTTTACAAAACCAGAAATGTTAGTCTGAATTTGCTTACATCCGAAGTGATTAGCAGTAAGTGCAGTAGGCAAACTATTATTAGTTTGTACTCAAGCCACATTTTATGCTTTTCACAATGAACTAAAATATGTTTTACAAGTATGAAGTTTCTATTTCTGATGGTAAGCACAGGCCTTATATTAAAAGTCATTCGATAATGTTGACATAACATTCAGTGCTCTCTCTTTCAGGAGCACACCTGCGCCTTTCTTTTTCCCTCCCTTCTTCCCTCCCACCCCAGGGGCGTTACCTTTGCCCTTCTCCCTCCCAGGCTCCGAGGGCCCTTCTCCAGCCTCTGTGACTCGTTTCCTGAGCCTATGCAGCCCCGCTGGCTCACTTCTACGACCTCTGTGACTTTCTCAATAAACTTTCTCTTATAATATGCGTTCTTGGCTCTGAATTCTTTCTTTGCTAAACTCAAGAACCGAGGTCTGATTTCACCGCCAGCACTTCCAGTAATAAATTCAGTTTTCTTATCAGTACACAGAAGGGATGTAAACACAGAACCTGCATGAATGAAATACTTCTCCATCCAAGAAGGTGGTATCATAGTCTTCCTTTCATTAGAGCTGATTTTCTCCTTAAATTAATGGGAGATTTACATTTCTAATATCATTCTCAAAGCTGGGCACTTCACAGAATATTGAAAAGATCTTTGCTCATTCTTTCAAGGAAACATGTTGACAGTGTATTATTCCCAAGCCTCTGGGCTATGGGACATGGGAAAACTTAAGATGTAGGAGATGCTGTGGATGAAAAAGGGGTTCTACAGAAAGTAACCTCACAGGTTGATCTGATCATAGATTCCTAAATGACACTCAGGGTTATCGGTCGTCTACCATGTACCATGTATCATATCTATCACATTGTAAGAATCTCATACTATACAAGGGAAGACAAGACATGCAGAAATAATAATATCGTTGGCATATATTGAACCCCCAATCGGTATTTGTTGAATGAATGAGTGTAAGGAACACAAGAGATCTCAAAATAACCACCCTTCCTTGAGAAACCCAGAGAGATTAAGAGGCTTTGTGAGGTAGTGGCTTTCGATAGCAAAGACCTCATTTCATGTTGGTTGACCACTTCTGAGCTTTAGAATTACAGGTTTTCCCTGTTATCCAAAAGTAGCACATTCCTACGAAGACTTTTGTAAGATAAAATGGTGTAAAGCAAAAATCAATCACCATTAATCTATATAGGAAAAATCGAAATTTAAGCATTCCCAGACTCCCAAAATAACCAAATCATACAAAATAACACACAAAACTGAAAATAACTTTAATAACTTTACTTGACATAAGTAAGAGTTAAGTTCCTACAACATCTCATCAACAACAGTATGGCGACATAAGAAATGTCCAAATCTGTAAAGAACTTTTTATCAGTTTATTGGAGCCAAACTGATGACAATGCTGGGAGCAAAACCGCAACAGATTGAGAAAATGCTCTGGAGAATGGCAATTTTCAGCTTATTTTATACATGCGAATCAAAGGAGGAGGTGTAAGGAGGGTTACAGGAAAATCAATTGGTATTAGGTTAAAGGGATGGGAGAAAGCAAAGTGGGGAAGTCTCAGGGACTAGATAAGAAGTAAAAGGGAGAGGCACCTATATCTTTTACACTGGTGGTTACAAGATCGTTAATAATTGCCATTTACAGCTCATCCATTTGGTATTTCAGGAAGCAGATAACAATGAGGGGTTGGTGTTCTCTTGCTCTGCCACACAGAGTGTGCTGCGAAAGGTCGGGAAAAGGAGGTGACTCTGGCATTGCAAAGGTAGAAGGCTCACTTAAGGTAAAGATTGACCTTTGTCAAGGAAACTACAGGCCTAGATGTGACTACTCGGCATGACCCACTTGTAGTTCGGAATTTTAATGTCCAGACCATCTCTGTGGTTCCTTTCAGTCTGAGTTTGTAAGGCCCGCCATGCAGGCCTCCCCTTGAGTTTGTCAAGTTTAGTAGTGGCCTTTTTTTTTTTTTTGACAAGTTATAACTAAGCATGATGAATGAAAACGGTATTATTTGAGGACCTGCTGTACTTACGTAGGTCTTTCCTAAGAGTGAAGTGTATAATTTGAACATTTGAAAAGCGGGGGATACCCGTACTAATCCTGGATTAGGCAATCTGAATTTTTATTTTATTACTGTTGTTAAATTTTATTATGATATACTAGTCATCGATCTAATTTTCTTTCTACAATTAACTGGCCCCAGTTATGCAAAAACACTTCTTTCAAACGTACTGAAGAACCCTTAGAGACTTAGAGACCAGCTTTTATCTGGTCCGGTCATATGAGCTATCTTAATGTGGAGCACGTTGATAGAGCAGAGTGTGGTGAGGCGATCCAATGTTCAGGACGCTGACTCGAGAGGTTTGTCTCCGGTGCTTTCCAACAGCCCTTTCCCGCCCGCGAAAAGCCTCGCGTCAGCTTTTCCAGGTCTGGTTTAGCAAGTTCCTCCTGCGCGCTGCGCGCCGCGCGCCTCCATGCCAGGAGCTGGAAGCGGGCTGGGCACAGACCCTTTTCCTGCTCTTTTACTTCTTTTGCTTTTTTACGGCTCAAGGGAACTAAGTCCCCTAGCCTGAGATACTGTTGAACTGGTTCGCATGCAATCATTCTACGGCCAAGGCTAAAGGGACAACCTGAACCTCTACAAACGCCGGGGAACCAAGTAATCCCCACCCTTACCTAGGGGCAAGGGGCAAAGCCCCTTGGGAAACTGAACTTTCACCTCTCCTCTCTTCTCACCTCAGCTCACCAATTTTGACGCTAGCCAATGAAGCGACGAGGAGGCCTGGTAGGCAGGACTTAGTGTTGCTCTGTCTATGCTGATTGGACTGCGACGGCATGAGGGGCGGACCGCGTGGGCGGGCTAGGGACCCTCCCTCGGTGGGCGGGGAGAAGTGAGGGCGGTGCTTGCGCGCCGGGAGGTGGCAGAGTGGCCGAGGCGGATACGCATGCGTGGTAGGCGGAGCTCGGCTCTTTTACCAATATTACCAGCCCAGTTCTTCCTATCCTTGCCTAGCTAGGGCTGGTGTTTCCGCACCCCGTCGTGGACAGTGGCTGCTGAGTGGCCGCTCTGTGTTCGGGTCGTCATGGCTGGTTACGAATACGTGAGCCCGGAGCAACTGGCTGGCTTTGATAAGTACAAGGTAGCGCGGGCCCCGCGGACGCTCCGTTCCCCCTGGTCCCGGCCTCTCCCAGGCGGCTGAGGAGCCGCACGGTCCGTGTCACCTTGTGCCGCGTGGCTTAGGGCGGGCTGGCGGGCGTTTCTCCGGGGGTCTTGCCGAGCCCTGGGGCTTTGGGGTCGAGGTGCGTGGGAGCACCCTAGACTCGTCCCCTTACTCAGCTCTCACCCAGGGATCGCCTTTTCCTTCGGAGACTGCTCGACGAGAGTAGAGAGAGAGAGAATTCCCCTCGCCTCTTTACTTCATCATCCTTATTATTTTGTAGCCCCCGGAGAGGTGATACAGTTCCCGTCTGTGGTGTCTTAATTGTCTTCATTTTAATGAACTTTCTACCCGCCTCACTTGTATACAACTTCAGAGACGGAGATGGTCGTTTGGCAGACGAGGCCCGGGGAGAGGGAGCGACTGCTGAGGCCATACTGCTGCTGATGGATGCGCTCGCTTCTCCCGGGAAAGGGGCTCCCGCAGCGGGAGCGTGTGGCGCCGGGGCTGCCGGCTGAAGTGAGCGCACCCCGGGAGGAACTCTGTAGTGGGGAGAGCGCGGGCTTTGGATTACCTATACCCCCGAAACCGAAATCGAGTTTATTTACTTGGCTCGGGGCCAAATCATAGTGTCTACGGTGCAACACGATTATAAGAATTTGAGAAGCGCCTGGCGTATAATGGGCCTTCGGTAAATGGTTCAATTTCCCTCCGAACCTGGCTCGTCGTCCCTGCTCCCTCCCCAGTGAATGACTCCTCTCTCCGTCCTGCGGTCCGCGGTCCGGGCGAGAAACCTGGGTAGTAACCTTTCATTCTGGTTCCTCTTCCCCGCCCATCAGTCCGTGCGTCGCCAGATGCTGGGTGTTCCGTCATTTTTATCCTCAACTAGAGGACTGGTTCCATGACCCACACTTCCCACATACGCTTTAAGTAATCTCTTTATTTGAGAATACTTGTAGAATAATGTAGTGTACATTTGGAGGAAAATTGTGCAGATTGAGTACAGAGTCCCCATGTATTCCACACCCAGTTTTTCCTGTTAACATCTTACATTAGTGTGGTACATTTGTCACACTTAATGTACACATTATTAACTGAAGTCCATTATCTTTTTTATAAGCCAGTACTGTTGAAAGGTTTATTTATTTTCAGAGAGCGGGGAAGGAAGGGAGAAAGAGAGGGAGAGAAACATCAATGTCTGAGACACATCAGTTGGTTGCCTCTCACACACCCCACGTTGTGGACCCCTCCTGCAACCCAGGCATGTGCCCTGACCGGGAATCGAACCAGCGACCTTTCATTTTGCAGGCCGACACTCAATCCACCAAGCCACACCAGCCAGGGCTGAAGTCCATTCTTTTCAGATTTTCTTAGTTTTTAACCTAATATTCTTTTTCTGTCCCAGGATCTCATCCAGGATACCACATTACATTTAGGCATCCTGTCTCCTAAGGCTCCTCTTGGCTGTGACAATTTCTCAGACTTTTGTCTTTGGTAATCTCAATAGTTTTGAGGAGTCCTGGTCAGCAGTTTTGTAGTGTGTCTCTTAGCTGGGATTTGCCCAGTGTTTTTCTCATGATCAGGTGAGGGCGATGGGTGTTGGGGGGGGGGGGGGCGGGGAAGGCTGCAGAGGTGAAGTGCCCTCTTACTGGGTCATGAAGAGGACATGCTGTCAATGTGGCTTACGCTGTTGATGTTGACTTTGACCACCTGGCTGAGCTCATGTTTGTCAGGTTTCTCCCTGAAGAGGTACTGTCTCTGGAAGGCAGTTACTGTGTGCAGCCCACACTTACTACCTTGAGGGCAGAGTAGAGACATAATTTATATTTGGAATTCTTCATGGAAGATGTGTCTTCCCTTCCCAATGCATATTTATTTGTTCAGTCATTTCTATTAGCATGAGTTCATGGATATTTATTTTATACTTTGGGCCATAATCCAGTACTGCTTAATATTGTTGCTCACCTACATTCACCTTTGCCCTTTCAATCCTTTTTCTGTGTTGCACAGTGATCTTTAAAAAAACAAGCGTCTGGTCATAGTCATTCTTCGCTTAAAACCCTCCGCTGTCTTCCCACTGCTCTTGGGATTAAGTCCTAAATTTCATGACATGCTTCTGAATGGTCTGGCCCTAGGCTCTGTCCAGCTTCCCATCACGCCACTCGCTGTCTGCCTCTGCCAGCCTTAGTGTCCTCTCCCACATCCCTCGTGTTTTCCAGGTCTTCATTGTTATATCTTCCTTCCCCATTATCTTCATCTTCGCATCTTAAGTGTTGATTCCTCAGAGAAGCATTCCCTCACCACTGCTTTCCCCTTACCTGTGCTCGTAGGGCCCCCTCTGCTGCTTTGTGGAATTCGTTCTTCAGTGGGTCACCCCATTAGCATGTAATGCCCCAGTGGTGAGACTTGTCTAAGGGCCACCCTGGCCTGGGCACTGCGCTACTGTGTGTGCTGGGCACCTGGTGCACATTTGTGGAATGAATGAATAACTCACAAAGTCATAGTGGGTTGTGTTTAATTGGAACTGGAAAAACTGTAAGGGACCTTAGAAGGTCACACGGTATATTCCTCTGCTTTTAAGCAAGATTGTGTCACAGCATTTTGAACGGAGGTGCTGCTGACTTGTCTTAAAATTTTAAGTGGAAAGAAGTTCCAGAGCCTTGGTAACCCAGGCCACGGCTTTACAACTTTTGCTAAAGGAGGTTATTAACCCAGATAACCTCCTGTTTTGCCTTAAGCTCTACTCCCCTTCTGTTATTTGTTTCGTACTACAAATATTGACATATAAAACTTTTTCTTCATTATTAGGATCTGTCTTTCTGGGTAATTGCCCACGGTACAGCTATTTCATTTGCAGCAGTGTGGAATAGGGGATCAACTTTTTCTTGTAAGCAAAGTTTTCTCTGGATTGGGGTCCTAATTTCCAGAAAATCTTAGTGTGCGTGTCTGTTCCTATTCCCCTGCCCTTCTGTTGTCTGACTCACTTCCAGTGTCTGACGGCAGATTTCCTACCAGCCTGGAAAACAAAGGTCAGTTAAGTAAGCATCCAGTGTTCAGTAAAATACAGTTTGTTAATTTTATTTTAGTTATAATGAAGCTTCTTTATTAAAGTAGGAGAGAGCACACATTTATTTCTTCTAGTGGAGGGTTCTTCACTCAATACTGTGTTCGTATTAAAAAGGATGAATCCAAAGGTGGAGTCCAAACGAAAAATCTGTGTGGTTGGTTTCACTGGAATGTGAATCGCATCTCAAGACCTTTTCTTCCCGAAGATCACACGTTCCCATTGTGTGGCCTTTGACAGTAAGTCCTTTATGAGTGCTCACTGGATGGAAATGGCTCTACCCATAAATGACTAAAAACTCAAAGTACTCAAAAGAGATTTTTATTTTATTCCCTGATGTGACCCTGTATATTAGAGCGAAGAGATGTGGAGAAAAATTGATACTGTAAAAGCAACTGGTGGAAAAATTACTTCTAAAGTAGTTTAATTTATCTTCCCCGGAGGTACATCTGAGAGCTACAGTTGGAAACCTGGCAGTTATTCAGAATAACTGCTGAAAGGGATGCACGCAGAGTGGGCATTAGGTTTCTGGAATAAAAAACTGTCAGACGGTTGAGTTGCAGTACGGAAGGAAGCATGGATGGATTCTGTGCTGTATATTCTCCTAACACGTGTGTTCTCTGTTGTGTTACCGCAGTTGTATTAAGCAGTTAAGTAATTAGTGTCTGCCTTCTCTTTTAGGGTATGAGCTCTGGGAGGGCAAGGCCTGTAGCTGTGTTGTTCAACATGGCCAAGGTCTAGCACATGAGCAGAGTAGGCTCTCAACATATTTATTGAGGAATGAAAGCGTGAAGGAGTGTAAACCATTTGGAAGTGTGATAAAAGGGAGCTGTGTATCTGCTTACATTCCTCTCCTCTGCTTGTCCTTTCGTTGGACAGGTCTTGTAGTTGAAGGATTTTTCTACTTATCTAAGGGTGAAACTTTTATTGTGATTTACCTAATCTGACCTAGGAAGGTGTAATTTTAATTGATAGTGTAGCAGCTCGTTTCACATTGTATCATTCTGCATCAGAGAGGAAGTGTTCTGTGAAGTATCCTGTTTGGTTTCAGGAATATAATGTGATGAGTTGTTTCTGCTGTTATGGTAGTTAATTTGGCTGTTCATAACAACCAGATTATGGGAACCGTGATCATTATGAATTAATTATTATTACACTTATGGTTGTAAAGAGAGACGGTGTTTTGGTGATAATGTTAAAGAACTAGAATCTGGCCTTTGCCCTTACTGGTTCACATAGTTTAATTTTACTTCTTTAATAAACATTTATTGAGGGCTCATTCTGTGTCAGGCATAGCATTGGGGCTGCAAAAATTAAGCTAGGCTAAAATTCCTACCTTCAAGAGACCAAGTTTGGCGGCATATAGACAAGTAAATAATTATGCATAGTTAAATGAAGTTAGCTAAGTTCATGGAGATCAGCCTAGAAGGATCAAGGCTGAGTGGACCCAATAAACAAGGGAAAGGGGGAGAAAAGGCATCAGAGAAGTGGACAGTGATTTTTGGATTTTACTCTGTCAATGAGTGTTTCTATGGTCCAAGGACTATGGGCGTCAGAATTCCGTAGGGAAAGGCTTTTTAATAGCAGGTTCCCAGGCGCACTTTGGGAGGTTCAGATTAGATCGATTGCCATTATTTGGATGTTAAGCAAATACTAGGTTGGCCAAAAAGTTCTTGTGTTTTTTTTCTTCAAAATACATATTTTTGGTTTTCACCAATATCTTTATTGACTTGGATAGTTTAAGTATGTCCGCATTCTCCTGTGTGGTATAAAGTTGATGGTTCTCAATCAATGTCTCGATTTGATCGCTATCAATTTCAACTGGTCTACCAACTGTGGAGCATCGTCTAGAGAGAAGTCTCCAGCATGAAACTGCAAACCACTTTTGACATGTCCAATCAGTCACAGCACCTTCTCC